ATTTTAAGAAAACAATTTTTATATATAATAACGAAATTTGAAAGAATAATGTAAGAATTTCCTAAAGTAAATTGAAAGCTTAAAATAGAAAATCTGTTATCGATTCTTTGTAAACTTATTTGCTCTGAATCGAAACACTGCTGTATAGTAAACTATGTTAAGTATTTGGTTAAAAAAAACTATATTGATCTATATTTAGAACAAAGGAAAATTTTCCCCCCCCCCCCCGTATTCGATTTTGGTTAAATGCTCTTTTATAAAATTTATATATAACGTTTACACTGTGAAATATCTTTTTGTTTTCTTTTGCAAATTTCTAACGGATATTAGGCACTTTCGTACCACTGATTTCAAATCTGTAATCAATTTCTTTCTCAAAGTTACAGATTTTTTAAATAACATTTTCGTCTCTTTTTTTTATTGATGTGTACAAGTTTAAAAATATTATGTATGGCAAGGGGTCGCATAAATGTTGCGACAAATTTCTGGGAGAGTTTGAGCACAACAACAGGATTAAAATTGAATAGGAACTCGTGTCCCGAACTGTTGTCATACGCCACTAAGGGCGCTTTCCTATTATGAATTGCTTCTTCGTGAGCCTCTAAGCTGGGCCTAATAAAGAAGTACTCCTAGAAGAGTACGATAAACATTATTGGACATTTGAAATTGCACATTTCATTTTTAAACTTGTACATTTCGACAAAAAATACACTAAAATGATATATATTTTTTTTTTTAATTGTAGCTTTAGGAGCAAAATCAATTTGAAGATTTGATATCCTAACACTCTAATTAGGCAGGATCAAGTACTTGAATCGATGAAACAAAGCATTTGTTCCCCAGTGTTATATATATATATATATATACTAACCTACAATAATGGAAGAGGCATTTTCAGTTTTTGATATTTCTTAAATCACGAACGAAAACAAGTATTTTTGAATGTCTCAAAACGTTAAGAAAAGTCACGAAAGTCAACTAAGCTGATGGTATAATTATATTAAGACTTAGCGCCTCGCAAAATTGGTTTGCGGTCAAAATGACCGCTCTGGTCAGTGTTATATATGTGAAAAAAAGAAATGAAACACCAATAAGTTAATGTCAGAAACCATTAAATATGAAGTGTATTTCCATAATATTTTCAAAAAAAGTAAATAGACTTTTTTTAATTATATATATTTTGACAGTATTTAAGAATATAATATCTTAAATTTATTAAAAGTTAATTAAATAGAACATTGCCATTTTTGCTCAATCCACCGTATGTATTCAGTAAAGTATTTCAGAAAATTTTAAGAAATCAATGAATCATAATTTTAGATCAATTCTAAATGGAATTTTTACTAAAAATCATACTATATAAACAAGAAACTTTAAAAATGTTAGCAAATTGTATATACTTTTAAAAATGTCATTTGCAATGATAGATTTATCGAAAATTTGATACAGTTTCGAAGTTTCTTGATTAGTGTGCTTTTATATAAATAAATTTAAAAAAACTATTTTCTTTTCGTCCGAAAAGCAATATCTTTAAAGTTTTATGTTTCGGAAATTGTAATATTGAAAAAGAATTTTTGATTTAAAAGCAGTTTAAGAATTTATATATTATTATTGTAGTAATGTAATATAATCCTTATAGAAAAGTAAAACTTATTATGAAACTTTTCATAAAGCTGAAATAGTTGGAAACATAGTGCTTTGTTTTAAACAAGCTAATATTACAAATTGATTGCGCTTTGTTTCATATTTTTTATCACTGAAAATAGTCATTTGTAGAAAAATGTTTTGTTGCTGTTAAGTTTACTTTCGTTTAAGTTTGTATTGCAATACCACTAAAATTGTAATTTATCTTAAAAAAGTTAAAATTTTAAATGTTAGATCAATTTTGTATTTCAATTCTTCGCAAAATCTGGTGTAGCTAATCTCAGAGAATTATCTTTGAAAGATTCTTTTTTCTTGTGGCATTATCGAATGATTCAAAATATATCCTTTTTAAAATCTGAATTTAAAGATTCGCTGTTAAACATTTACAAACCAAAACTCACACTCTCAGAAATAAAACTCACACTTTTGACGATTCAGCAAACCTTAAGCAGTATTTCTTTAATTTTGAGAATCATTTCGTCTTGAAATCACGTGATTTTTGACGTGAACTCTTAAATGTGTGACGAAAATGCTTCCGGAATTCGAAACCTCTTCGTAGTGCATTGTGGGATATATTTTACTAGAATTAACACTAGACAATCGAGAAAAAACTGACGAATTATGCTGACCCGTTTGTATGGGGGTCAAGAAGTTGGTCTTGTACCTGGAAGATCAGGAGTTCGAACCTCTCTTCGGACCTCTTCGGACGTGGGTGTACTTTATCTATCGGTACTTGTTGTGTCGTGCCGTCTATATGGTGCCCAAGTAAAAGTGATTATTAAAAAAGTTAGCTACGTTAGGCACTAAAAAAAGTTTTTGGAAAAAAAATAGAATGATGAAATATTTCTTTAATTTTGACGAAATGTGTTTCCTTGACGAAGTGAGAATAGTTATTTCGTCACTTTGACGAAACTTTTGCTCGGAACATATCCCAGGAAACGGTTTCGTCAAAAACGACGAAAGTTTCTTGATAATCAGGTATCCGTTTTTTACAGTACGTTAACTCGTTCGATGGTAAAGTTACAATTTACTATGAAGTTCTGTAGAAGTCAATGAAGTTTTATTCCTCACAAATTATGTTTCAATTGCATTATAGTAAATATTGTCACATAGGCAGTTCAATCCTTATTAAACAATTTAAATATCTGGGATTGTTAGATACCGTAACTAAGGAGATAAAGCTAGAAATTAGAGCTAAGATGGCTGCTGGATTTGATTATGCTTTACAACAATTGTTAAGATATAGCTATATGAGTATAAATTTAATTCTTATTTGTAAAGTGATAATTCGACCAATCGTATTATATTGTTGAGGCATGGACTTGAACTAAAAAAAATTTTGATCTTCTAAGAATATGAGAGAGGAAAATTTTAAGGAAGATTTTTAGCGCAATTTGTGTAGACAGGCATCGGGGGATTCGAACAATTAAAAAGACTCATGGTAAATATGAGAAATAAGAAATTGTTCCAAAATTTAAGAATAAAAAGATACCAATGGTTTGGAAACTTTCTACGAGTGAACTCTGAAAGAAATGTCAAAAAAAAAAATAATTAGATCGAAAACTAGGAAGGTTGTAGATCAGGGGTATCAAACTCAAAAGCTAACTTGGGCCAAATAAACAACTTTAGGTGGGCTGCAAAAAATAAATAAATAAATAAATGTTCATAGGAACAAATATTTTTATTTTGAATAATACATTTTAATAAACATATGTAAAGTTAAATTATTGTATGATACTTGACATCTCTTCTCTGCTACTATCTTGCCTATTTCGGGAGAAATTTTATTGGCCGTGACTACTTTCAAAATTGACCCAACGTGAGCGTTATTAATACGGTTTCGAACAGGAGATTTAATTCCATTCATAACAGAAAATAATTGCTAGCACTGATAAGTACTTCCAAACATGGAAATAATTTCATATGCGAATTTGCGAGTATTTTCAAACCTTGCCAGTAAATATTTGTAAAATTCAGGCATACCCACTTCAATGAATTTTGCCTTCAAATTTGAGTCGCATTGAATCTCAATCACTTCCATTTGCATATTACTGGGCACTGAGTCTATATTTATTGAGAAAATCGACTAAAGCAAACAAAATTTGTCTTCCAAAGAATTAAAATCTTTAAACCTTGTTTCAAATTCTGTTCTAAGATTTGAAATTTTTTCTGCAAATTTTTGATACGATGCAGTATCCCTGGAATGGCAGGTGCCGCAAGCCAATTACAATTTTACATTTTCGCTCGTACAATATAAAATGATCCGTATAGTTTATAAATAAAATATATTATAATTTCATATGCTAGTTTTCTTTCTAAATCACATTTCAACTTTATTTTTACTTTGCGTCGGTTTTCTGGCCACGAGTTTGACACCCCTGTTGTAGAGGATCTAAATTCTCTCAAAATTACCCACTACAAGAAAAGGGAGACCAACAGAAAAGAATGGCCCAAAATCTTAAAGGAAGCTAGGGAAGCTGTAGCGCCAGGATGATGATGATTAACCTTAATTAAACATATAAAACCTTTTTCTAGCTACCTGACAAAAGAACTAAATTAAATTAATGCCATTTTTCACTCAGTTTAATTTACTTTTTGTGTAATTGCAGATTTATGCAAATGGATGAATGGCCGTAAGTATTACATTGACGTGGGAGAATCTGGGATCATCAGTGTTGAGAATGCAACCAGCATGTCGAAAGGGGCAGAGACTGTCACCACCACTACCAACAACAACCAACCTCAAATACCTCAAAGATGCAGCGTCGAACTCATTACCTGCCCATCCTGTCATTTAGAAATCACTATACAAAAACTCCATATTCCCACCTGTTCCAATGATAAAACTTGCAGGTTAGTAACCTTCAGACTCATAAACGATTTTACTTTTTCTATATTAACATATTTATTACAGGATGCCCCAGGATTATTGGGACAAACTTTAAGGGCTAGTAGGAAATATCACAAGGATTCAGAATTGCTTAGCAACTCAAAATTAGAAACGTCTTCGCTCGCCGTTCGGTGGTGGTGTTCACAAGATGGATCGGTTCCCTGGCCACCATGCTCTCCTGATTTAAGCAGCGTGGATTTTTTTTCTTTGGGTTGCACTGGAAAGTACTATGTACGTAACATCTGTGGATTCTGAAATAGATCAGGTTACAAGAATCGTTTGTGCTGCTGAGGGATATACAACAAAATCGAGATGAGTCTGCCAATCCACGGCCGGATGTTGCAAAGCACGCATCTCTAGCAATGTTAGAAACTTTGTACATCTTTTGTGATATTTTCACATATCATCTAACACAGCACGTGTAATATGTTTGACCAAAAATATTTCAGATCATCTCAGTCTTGCGTCTCTGTTTCTTGTACCTGTCTTCCGCTTGACGTTTCCGATCATGGATTGCTATGCAACTCTGAATCCTTGTGATGTCTACTAACTCCCCTTAATGTTCGTCCTGTCCCAATAATACTGGGACACCTTGTATGTGTTCTTATTTATTAAGTAACTGTTTAATGTTTTTGTTTTATTTTATTCATTGAAATAAGTTTTACTGCACTTGTAGAATTAAAAATTATAAGGTATGTATATTGTTGTGCATCCAACACGTCATGATGACGTAATGAACAAGTATAGAGGCAGTTTTTTTTTTTTTTTTTTTTTTTTTTTTTTTTTTTTTTTTTTTNTTTTTTTTTTTTTTTTTTTTTTTTTTTTTTTTGCTTCAAGAAGTTAGTGAGAAGGCAAGACGTTCATTTTTGTATGAGTTCGGTTCTCAGAGGAATTATTGGTATTGGACTGCAGATATTTTTAAACTTTTTCAATGTTCCAAGTTTTTCAAAGTTCAAGATTTAAAATTTCTTACAACTTTAAAATTTTCGAATTCAGTAACTATATTCAGCCGAACACATTTGAAACAGAAATGAGTCGAAAGTATTACTAATTAGTTACTGAATAAATCAGGAAATTTCAAACTTATAATTCTCCTTTAATTGACATGGAGGAAGTTAAATCCTATTTCTGTATGTCTGAAAAGGGATTTAACTTCCTCGACTGTCTACTATTCGTTTGGGTCCACATTTGCAATTATTGTTTCTTATTTATTCTCTGTATAATCAATTTGAATTTATTACAGTTAATAAGTGGGTTTGGTTACTTTATTTTATAACCGTCGTTGAACAGCCGACCCAATTTTGAATTTGCGACTAGTAATTTTCAACTCCGTAGTATTGTAATTTTGAATTTAAACCAGAAGAAATATTGGACAAGGAAACTCCAGGATGAAGTATTGTGGGAAATTTTGTCTTCGTGGAGAATTTTTTATTGGAACTAATTAGCATTTGCGTTATATGGAAACAAAAACCACGAAAGCCTCCCATGGTTAGTCTGACGGCACGAGAATTCCAACCCATGATCCGATCCGTCTACCATACGTCAGCACCGTGGTCGGTGAGAGCCGGGTACGGAATTCGTATCGATAAACCATTGCTGGGATTCGAACCCGGTTCACCTCATTGTAAGGCAAATACTCCATCCCTTGAGCCACTGCGGGTGTGAGTTTTTTTAATTAATGATTTTCAAGCATCTACAGAAGAATTCTTTGAAAAATTTTAAAATGTTTTTTGTATAACATTTAGCAACTTTTGTTAAACGTTTTGTACAACATTACAATTTTTTGTACAGCACATAGCAACTTTTTGATTTTCAAATTTAAAAAATACTCTAAATTTATGTAATTTGGAATAGAGGAGTAAAAAATAATAACAATTTTGGTAGTATATGAGCAAAACGGAATTTAAAGTTAGTCATGAGTTGGATGTGAACTGCAGATTCCTGTTAACCCATAGACGAACATTATCTGAACATATTTTTCATACATTTTTCATTCTAATTTATGGTTATGATATACAGCATGGAACACCGGTATCGTTAAAGGTAAAATCTTCCAAACACCACTCATTTCAGAACAATAATTTTTCGAATTGCATTGCATTTCAGTTATTTAGATCTAAGAGAAACTGTAATTCACAATTGAAATTTCTTTTAATTTACCACATCTATTAGTGGTAAATTTTCAAATATGAATGAAAAAAATCAAACTGCTTTTTTTTTAGATTTTATATTTTAGTACAAATATAATTCCGATAAACTGGCAGATTTTTAGAAACTATTACACTTTTTTTATAATTAAAAAATACCAAAATATATTTTTACTTGCAATTAGAGAGCCAGAAAAAAACTGTAAAATAGACATTGGTGTCCCGTCCCATCTGCACTAAAGCGTTAAGCGCTTAAGCAAATCAATCTAAGATTTTATCAAAAATTCAATTTTTTAAAAATTATTTTTCATTTTCAGTCTAGGTATGAAGTAGGTTTTTTCTACAAGTTCTTTTAAATTTCCATTGTTCATGGTCTTGCACTGTATTTTGAAATTTCCTCTTAAGTTTTTATTGTGGTATGTGTATAATCTCCGCCTAGATGCCTGATACATGTTTCCAAGAAATTTTTAATTTTCTTATAACTCATAACAAAAAATATGTGCCTGCGTTCTGAAATGTTTCGGTGATATAAGCTGGAAATATAGGAATCAGTAAGTACAGAACCCGTTATCCGGAAATCAGAAAACCGGAAAACCAAAAAACCGGATCGAAATTCGATAAATTTTCCCGCAATTTTTAAAACAAATTTTTTTTTTCCTCTTAAGATTTTTCTTTCTTTTTTGAAAGATGTTTACCTTACCATCATTTTGGAAATAATTATTAGTGTATTACTTCATCATTTTTTCTTCTTTTTAAGATTATTTCCAAATATTTATTTTTTTTTAGTTGGGCTTAACAATAAAAGAAAGGCTTTTTGTAGCGATTCAGAAAACCGGAAAAATCAGTTATCCGGAATAGCGATGGTCCCGATCGTTCCGGATAATCAGTTCCCTACTGTAAAACTTATCTATATATAATATTTATAGTGTTTTTAATGTTTCAAAAACTTAAATGAAATGTATTCGGATTGAAGTTGTGACAAAATGGACGTATCTTCAGTTCTATGAACTAAAAACGGTTCGGTGATTTTAGAAAACATTTTAACGTGCTAATTTTGTATTTTTCTTTACAGGTGCGATTTTTTATGGATAAAAGAATCTGCGTACAGCAAATCTGGTCGTGAATACTGTGGAACTAAAGGAAACGGTTCAACAGATTTGGTGTACGAGTCTAAGACGAAGCTTGTCTCCGTCGATTTTTTATTTAGTGGTTCATATGAAGAAGCTTTCAGTCTGCAATTCTCTGCTAAAAGTATTTATAAAACACTTTTTATTGAAATTACTAACTCTTTCTCACTCTCTTTCTAAATATAAGAACTAGTAACATAAAATGGAGCTTTAATAATTATTAAAAATTAATAAAAAAAAGTAATATATAAAATAGAAACTTTAGTTGATATTTATCAATATAATATTTGAGATTTAAAATTTAAAATTTTTTATAGTTTTGTTTAAGCTACATATATACCTGCTGATAAAAATTATTAGGTATGAGAATATTATTTGTAAGTAATTTTAAATTATTAGAAAAGAAACCTAGTTCAGGTAGAAGAGGATCTACATAGGGTTTTATATTATTTTACATACGGTTTTAATGAGAATTTACATTATAAAAGCTTTGAATAGATACATAACACGTAGATTTTGTACAAAAAAATTACTTTATAATGAAAATGTTAGCTACCTAGCATTATCAATTATTTAAATTACTACAAATTAGTTCATATTAAATTAATTTATATGATATTTTAAAATTTTTTCATACGTAATGTCACGTTTCAAGCTTATGCTAGGTGTTCTACAAGGGGCTCTCTTAATATATACTTTTAGAATTCTAGCCGAAAATGGAGCAAAAAAAATAAACACCTTAGAGGTCGCTCATTTATATTAAGTACAAAAAAAAGGCTTTCGAAATCCGTCGAATCACAACTGAGGAAAGAGGGATGAAAAGTGGAAAATTCTTAACTATTAATTAGTTTCCTTCGGTACTCAGAAAGGCTTTGATGTTCATAGTAACGTCAGTTGAGATTTATTAAGTTTCGAATTTTTTTTAATCGTTTAACTACACATTTTTACGCCTTGTATATTTTTTTTTATCTTCGATTTCAGCAAATATAGCAAGTATTTCGAAAATACGTATGAAAGTTAGTTATAATGGAATATCCATATATATCTAACCTCTGTGCTTTTGCTGCTTTTTTAATTTTAATAATACGCTTTTTTTTATTTTAAAAAGCTAAATAAAAGTGTTTATTTACTCTAGTCAATTATTTTATTCAAATTCAGTTTCCGAGAAAATTATTACAAATAAACTTTCCCCTTTCTTCATTAATATTCATTTAATTTAAATTCGTTCTTTGCATTGTTATAAACCAAGAAACCGCATTTCCTAAAATCTTACATTAAAAAAACAAATATTTAAAACACTAAAAATATTCCTTTTTTTCTCTCTCTCTTTTTAGAAAATATTTATATTTACAAAGGAAGCTATGATTACTTTGAATCTAACAGTTCTGGAGTAATAAAATCTCCTAATTTCCCTGGTGGATATCCTAGCGACTACAGCGCAGAATATATCATTCAAAATCTTGAGCAAATAGGATTCGTTCAACTCATTTTCACAGATTTTCAATTATCCTTGTGGTCATATGTAGAGGTAGTGTTTCATTCCTTTTTAATATTTTAAACACACATTTATATGTTTTATGCAACATGAAATATTAGTTTCTTATATTTTTGAGCAAAAGGTAAATTGTGTTGACTTTCGTGCGAACGTCGCTGTGATTGTTGAATTTTCATATAAATGTATGCTGGTCTTAAATAAATGAAAGCATAAGGAAGAAAGGGCAAAAGTTGTTTGGATTTTATGGGGCTTTAAAAATAAATTTATATGAAAAAAATGAATAAAATTAAAATTATAGTATAAAAATTACAGATGAAAAAAAATTTGAATTCAAGCTTACTAAAATGGGATTTTAAAGCAAAACTTTTAATGTGTATTTTATTTTTAAGAGGCTGAGTATTGTAACCACAGGCATACATTAGCTCATACTTGGAATAATAATTTTAATTTTTTTAATATACACGTTTCTCAAATAATTGAAAAGCTGATATAAAATATCCTCAATGGCAGACGGATCATGGGTTAGAATCCCCTTGTCGAACTAACCGTGGGAGATCCTCGCGGTTTTCTTCTCCTTGTAACACTAATATGGATTTGTTCTATCAAACAAAAGCCTCCACTAAGATTAATTTAAACAATGCTTGATCCAGGAGTTCCTAGTCTTCTGGGTTGGGTTTCAAATATTGATAGTCGTAAACTCAGAATTGGGTCATCTTTTCAAGACCCGTTATAAAACAAAATGATTGAAAAGAACGACTTTTTATTCATAGATTACTTGAAAATAAATGTTTTTGTTTTCTTATATGATTTTGAGTAACCTCTGTCATCGAAATAAGATGGAGCTGCATTTAAACATAGAAGTGAACACTTTTTTATTTTTGTTAAATAGAGTTGGCTAACAATTCAAATACGGCTTTCATATAATAGGTTGATTACCAACGTGCTTTCAATATATATATTTAAAAAAATTCAATTGGATATTTGCAACTCAAAAAGAATACCGTTGAAATTTCGTAGTTATGCATGTAAAGTTAACGTTTCAACTGTTAGGCTTTGTTTGTCATCACGCTGAATTAATTTACGGATCAAATTTAATTGGATAACTGCAAACGACGGCATGCGTATGTGTCGAATCTGATTGGCTGCTGAATCGTGGTGTAAACAAATACCATGATTTATCGGTATCCAATTTCGAAAAAGTTTTTTTCTCTTTCAAATAATTAAAAACTGATCGAAGAAAATTAGTAAAAAGCAAGAGTAAAGAATGTTGAAGATTGTTCTCTATTTCTTTAGATTGGTCCATTGTACTCTATATAAAGATTACAAGTAAAAAATACCCTTAAATATTTAATTAGTTTCAAAATTTAATTAGTTGTAAAAATTTTGTTTATAAAAAACGGTATTTAAAACGTTTGACTTTTTCTGTCTTCATTAGAATTTTCATTGTTAATGAAAATTCAAGAATATATATATTATTTTGAGCAGTTGAAATAGCAAAGTAGTTTTTATGCACTAATTAAATGATTTTTAGGATGGAATGCATTGTTTATAAGTAAAAATTAAAAATAAGATGGAAAAAAAATAATGCACAGGTTAAAAAAAGAAAAAGAATGCACTTAGTTCATAGATTTAATCTCACATTATCCTAGGCGTTTTGAACTTTAAAAATATTTCAAATAAATATATCTTTTTTCTTTCGTTTTTTAAAGAAGACAAATGCTTATTCTCTAGAAAAAGTAGTTTAGAAAAATAGTAATCTAAGATTTTCAATTTAGCTAAGAATCGCTTAGGTTGCAATAACCTATGAATAAGGCTGGTTTTCGATTTCAGAAATGATACTTTTTAGCGAACTATTTATAACTTTCGTGAGTTTTTCTTAATTATTCATGAATACCATGTTTTGCCTTGAACACTTTTTAGCGAACAATGATTTTATAATTGTTGTGAGTTTTTAGAAATTATTCTGGAATTTTATGTTAAGTTTTGCATATCTTCAGCTCGCGCACACCATGCTAAATATGAAAATGGTGCAAAATAATAATATGACGGAAAGCTTTAGTTTTGCGAAAATGAAACACGTTTGTAATCCAATTATTTATTTAAAAAAAATACTCCAACGCTATTCTGAAAACTTATTTTCATCTAGGTGGGAAAATCTTGCCAAACTGGGCGATTATGAAAAAATTTGATGTTTTCTTTTGAGAAAAAAAATTAGATAAAATTTTGTCCATTCTAAAGCGCGGATAATTCTTTTTGACAAGATGGTATGGTAAAATGTGCTAATCCACTATAACGGCAATTAATAGTTCCAGAAGGAATCGTTCAAGTCATCGTTTCGCTTTACACAAACATTAATGTTAAAACAGCAATAAAAATTAACTGACACATTTATTACCGCTATCCTTTTATTCTGAACAACAGTTTTGGTTAAGAGTAGACTGCTTTTGTGATAATGTAAATATTTGGTAAGCAATATGCTCTTTCCTTTGAAGTATATTCCTGCAGGATTCTTAAAAACCGCAATTTTTTATTTTTATTTTGTAAGGAGAAAGATAACTTGACCGGTGGTCGCTCACAATAAATTTCGAAACATTTCCCCCTTCTATATTGATACCAAAAATAAACATAGCTTCCATTTTATTCTTTTTCGTATAATATGGTTCACTTATACCAGTAAAAAAATTTATTTTTCACCAAAAAGAAAAACAAATAGACGCAACAGCGTGAGACTAGTAATTTTCAGCGATTTTCGAATCTTTAATGTTATCATCTTACGATGACTTGGAAAAATGTCGTTATAGAGGTCTACTCCAGTAGCAGACTCGTTAGAGCTTTTTCTGAGCCGTCATGGCTTCCATGGATAGATAGAGCGTTCACGCTTCTATTGAAGTGAACCGGGTTCGAATCCCAGCGATGGCTGGTCGATACGAATTCCGCATTCGACTTACACCAACCACAGTGCTGATGTAAAATTTCCTCAGTGGTAGACGGAGCATGGGTTAGCGTCCCCTTGCCGCCAAGGTAACCGTGGGAGGTTTTCGTGGTTTTCCACTCCATGTAACGCAGGTGCGGGTTAATTCCATCAAAAATGTTCTCCACAAAGGCAAATTTCTCCCAATGCTCGATCCAGGAGTTCCCTTGTCTTCTGGATTGGGTTCCAAATTACAAGGCTACGGAGTTGAACATCAGCAGTCGTAAACCCATAAAATTGGGTCGGCTGTTCAACGAGGGTTATAAAATAAAACAAAATGAGCTTTTTCTAGTTATAAAATGCATTTTAGATAAAAATATAATTTTATCCCAAGCAGGATATAATTGTTCTGTCTCGGTCTGAAATGTTTGAAATTCCATCCACATATTCTTGTCGTGTTGTATTTTCAGAATATGATATTAAAAATATAATATTTTCTACCTCGCAGAAATGAGAAGAAAAAAATTAAGCTGACGAATGCAGACATAGATTATTCATACTCTTCTTACAATATCCTTTCCAGGTGTTTGACAGCAATGGGACACGGATTGATGTATACAATGGTAACACTTTTCGACCTCCAGCTATTGTTTCCTCTGGACCAACTCTCACTGTTAAGTTCCAAGCAAATGATGAATACCCTAGCACAGGGTTCCAAGCCAGATACACATTCGTTAGCTGTGAGTTTTTAATCTTTCTTTTTTATGACAAAGAAAATGTTCTGTATTATTAAACGTCCAAAATTAAGATCACATTGTTTTAGTATTATTGTTGTTTCTAATACCACTTGTCAATACCAGCAAGCTTGCTTGGTGAAACCAAGCGAATTTAAGGCAGAGGGTGTTTTTCTTGTTTTCAATGGCGCCATCTATTGCCAAGAATACGACTTTAGCCCCACACACGTCACAACCCTTCTATAGGGTAGACCCATCCATTCATTCACGGATCGTAATTTTGACCTGAAGCAGAGAATGATCAATCTCCAATTCAGTAACCCCAGAGTTACGAGTTGTTATGGGAACATGGAGTACTTTGTGACCTGTCAGATTTAACGTGCATCAGCCACCATTTACTACATGGGGAGTCGACAGGTGGGGATCGAACTCACGACCTCTTGGACATGAACCCAACAATTTACCAACCAGGCTATCCCGGCCCCATTATTTTAGTAATCTTTCAAAGTTGCAGTTCGAGACGCGGACAGCGTTCGCCTTCTAATGAGGTGAACCGGGTTCGAATACCAGCGATGGCTAGTCGATTCGAATTCCGCACTCGGCTCGCACGGCCCACAGTGCTGATGTAAAATATCTTCAGCAGTAGACGGATCATGGGTTAGAGTCCCCTTTCTGTCAAGATACCTGCAAGAGGTCTTCGTGGTTTTCATCTCCATGTAACTCAAATGCGGATTAGTTCCATCAAAAAGTCCTCCACGAAGGCGAATTTCTGCCAAAACTCGATCCGAGAGTTCTCTTGTCTTCTGGATTGGGTTCAAAATTACAAGGCTACGGAGTTGAACATTGGTAGACGTAAACCCCAAATTGGATCGGCTGTTCAACGACGTAATAATGTTTTCTTAATAAATAGTAACTAATTAATCTCATTTCTTTAAAAAAATTATTTTTGTTTTAAAAAAAGAGAGGGATGCAAAAACTTAGGCATCTAAAATACAGACAGTTGACTTTTACTTCTTTATTTCCTTTAAAAGAATTCAACTTTTCTTGCTCTAGTTTATTACAATATTTTTAAAGAGTTTGCTAGCAAAGAAGAATAACCACCGGATGGCCACCAAATAAAATGAGAAACACATTAACGTTTCAAAATATATTACATTGAGTAAAGTTATAGATGTGTATAAGTGTAAGGTTTGCCACCACGAGATGGCGC